CTAGGACGGCAAGTGCGCCCAGGGACTTCTCTCCTGATTTAGCTCACGTATAACAGAGACCGCGGAGGGAGGCCAAACGGTTCGAATTTGAGAGCCGTCCAGGCGCTGGCGAGCGGAGCCCCCAAACGAATTAATTCATCAACCCAGTGCCCACGACATGCTGTTCCAGGCCCTGGGGACACAAGCCAGCAAACAAGTACTCTCTGCCATTGCAGAGAGTGACGAGTGTCACCAGAACAGGAATACGGGGTTAGAGAGAGAGTTGTAGGCACTGCGTGGGTGGTTAGGGAAAGGTGCATCTGAGGAGGTGTGGTGGGCTGGGCTTTGAATGGTAAGAAGGGGCATTCCAGGCAGACCAGACTGCAAGGGCAAAGACCCTGTGGCAGGAACAGGCCACACAAGTCCCTGAGGGGCTCCGGGTCTGTGCCAAAGTGGGAGCAACAGGTGCTGGGCCCTCAGCCTTCTGCGGTTCCTCCAGGCCCCAGAGCCTCCTGGAGGCAGGAGAAAGAGGAGGAAAAGGCAGGAATGCCTGGGACACTCAGGTTTCTGGATCCAGAGGCTGTGGGGCTCAGAGAGCACCCAGAGCCTCTGTCTGGGGTGGGGAGAGTCAATGGTGAGCTTGAGGGCCTGGGGCTGGCAAACAGGGAGAATGGAAAGTAGGAATGCAAAGGCTGGGGGCAGTGGGGAGATGCACCAGAGCAGTCACCCAGGGAGCAGAGCCAGGACCCTCCTCTGAGGGCTCAGGAAGGTTCCAGGACAGCAGCGGGGCGGGAGAACACACAGGCGCCAAACCAGCCTACCTGCATAGCCTGAAGCCTTCCATGGGAGCTGGAGGGTGGCAGAGTCATGGACAGGAGGAGGAACTGCCAGGAGGCGGGGGCTGCATAGCTCTGGGAGCACAGTCAGCACGCCCTGTGAAGTTGAAACAGCCTGTGTCCTTCCTCGCCCTCCCCCATCTGCCCACTGGAGCCCTGTGAGGGCCTGGCCCTGGGCTGTTTCACCCAGCACCTAGCCAGCCCCAGCTCAGGGAGGCCTGAGCTGTAGAAATGCTACAGAGTGAGCCTGCTTTCTAGAACAGTGGGAGTCCTATTGCGGGCCTCTGGGTCTGCCACCTGGTGGCGCTGTGCACTATTGCCTCCAGGGCTCCAAGGTGCCCCGATTAACCAGGGCTGCTGTGCCTGCACAGCCTGGCAGGTTGCCACCCACTTCCCAAGGGCCAGAGTAGCCTTGCTCCCTCCATGGGACCTGTGACAACTGGGCCTGGGACCCCTACCCAGTGGTTTGTGGACAAGGGGAGGGAGGAGTCTTATCCTGGAAGCCGCCATGCTTCAGTGGGCTCTTGATGTCCACTAGAGCTGCCCTTCTCTGGCACACCCAGGAGCAGGTACACCGTGGGCCCTACACGTGGCAGGGGTGCTGTGAAGACAGCGAGCTAAAACAGCTTGTCTTTGGTGTCCCTCCCCTGTGCCTCCTCTGTGACTAAAAGTCCTTGCAGTTCATGTTCTTCTCTCCCACGGTGGCTCCCTTGGTCCTGGACACCCTCATGTATCACATGGTTTTGTCATTTGGGGGCCAGATGGGGGTGATGTGCTGCCGCTGGGGCAGCAAGGCGGAGGAGACACCCCGAGCCTCTTCCGCCATAGATAGGTCACCTGTGAGCAGCTGTCCTTGCTGACTGGCTGACCGTCCTCTCAGACTCCTCTCAGAACACTGCCCACACTCAGGCTGAGACCCAGGTCCTCTGGGCTCCCCTGGGTCCACCAGGTCCAGCCCAGCAGCCCTAGAGAGTCCAGGCCAACAAGAACACATTTATGGAAGCCCTACCGCTTCCCAGACACGATGCTAAGCTTCACCTGCATATGTATATATATATATTTGAGCCTAAACACAGAGGCATTTATTGTTAGAAAGGGCAAATCTTACACTCAACTGGGTTGGGTTTTTTTTTTTTTTTAAAGATTTTATTTATTTATTTGACAGAGAGAGACACAGCAAGAGAGGGAACACAAGCAGGGGGAGTGGGAGAGGGAGAAGCAGGCTTCCTGCCGAGCAGGGAGCCCGCCGCGGGGCTCGATCCCAGGACCCTGGGGTCATGACCTGAGCTGAAGGCAGCCGTTTAATGACTGAGCCACCCAGGCGCCCCTCAACTGGGTTTTAACATCAAGGCATGAGAACAGAGATGCCCTGGCCTCCACAGGTCTTTGGCTCCCTCCAGTGCAGGGCTCAGTTCTACCAAGACCAGCTTGACCACAACCACTGTTCCCTCATCCCAGCAGCAACAGTTCAAGTCCCTTCCTGTTACCCAGCAGCTGGAGGGGACAGAGTATGACAGATTCTGGAATGCCATCTGCCGGAGCCCCACCTTCTCTAAACTTCTCTAAGCTTCAGGGAAACAGGAAAAAGTCCCAACAGTCGAACTGCATTTTCTGCAAAAGTTGGAGGGAGGTATGTGACATTCCTTTGCTCAACAAACAAAACAAAATCAACTGATTTGGTGACTTGATGCTGCAGAAGGATCTTGGAAGAATCAGGGAGCCCCCCTGGGGAATGGTGGGCAGGGAGAAACCCCAGGCACAGGAGTCCACATCAGAACCTCTGCTCAAAAGCTGGGGAGGCAGAGGGGCCAAGCCATTGAGGGAGGCGCTCCCTCCCCGGTTGTCCCAGGATTGTCTCTGGTCCCCAGTGCCAGGGCCCCAGATAGGCCTCAGTCCTCGGTCGCAGGTGAGGGAATGAGCTGCAGCTGGAAGTTCTCTTTCCAGAAGACACTGTTAAAAGCAAGGCCACTTTGCCAGCCAATGACCTGCCTTGTAGCTGGTCCCAGGAGAGTTCTGTGAGGAGAACCAGCCTGGAACTTCCTCGGTAGAGATGGCAAAGCTGATCAAATGCTTGGATTTGCTGTGGGCCCAGGACAGGTTCTGAGGCTGCCTTCTTAGCAGCAGGATCTGCTTTGGATGCATGACAAGATGAAGGTGTATTTACCTGAAATGGTGTTGTCATTTGCAGACTGCCCACCTGTGTGCCCATCAGTTTCTGTGATGCCCGCTTCATTAGCAGACAGAATGAGTGACACAAATGGCCACGGTGAAAGGCAATAATTTCATCTTCACCTGCATATTTGATCTCTACAGTGACACTATGAGAGGGGTACAACCACTATCCCCATTTTGCAGCTGGGGAAACTGAGGCACCAGGAGATTTGTTTGTTTCTATTTTTTAATGTATCTTGCCTGAGGTGACACAAATGCTTAGAGCACCTCCCTGTCTCCTCCAGATGTCAACTGCGCCCCCACCAGGATGCCTCCTCTCATCCCCCTGCTGGGCTCAGACCCTTCACCCACCCCATTCAGACCTCTCCCCCCAACTAAAGGGCAGGAACCAGGGGTGGAGTGTATCCTCACTGTACCCTTCCCTAAAGCCTGCACCCCCACACTCTGCCCACTCAGCTGTCTTACCTGTTTCCCTGATTATAATACTTCCTCCAGGTAACCAACAAACCCTCCAGAATCCTTTGATGGAAGGGAAAGTTGGAACCACCTGGTCAAAGACCTTCACAGCAAGGGAAAATGGAGAAGAAATTTAAACTTTGGAGGGGTGCCTGGGTGGCTCAGTCGTTAAGGGGCTGCCTTTGGCTCGGGTCATGATCCCAGCATCCTGGGATCGAGCCCCGCATCGGGTTCCCTGCTCAGCGGGAAGCCTGCTTCTCCCTCTCCCACTCCCCCTGCTTGTGTCCCCTCTCTCACTGTGTCTCTCTCTGTCAAATAAATAAATAAAATCTTAAAAAAAAAAAATTGGAGTAACTGTCACCGAAAAGGGCGTTTGCTTCCCCAACCCCACTCTCCTGTGGTCCACGGGCATGGAGGGGGATGTTCTAGGAGGACTCTTCCTCCCCAGACCTTTCCCTCAGGGTCTCTCAGCAAACATGCAGATGTTGGTGTAGGGTGGTCTCGTGGGCACAGAGCTAAGTCAGCCAGCATGTGTGTAGTGAGAGGGAACACGTGAGGCAGTAGTGATCCACTGAGTAATCCACAAAGTCCTTTTTGAAGCACTTAAAGAGCAATTGTTACCTTGGAGGAGGCTGGCCCATAGCTACTCTGGGCTCAGTGATGCCGGAGGGACAGGGGCTCAGACATTCCCAGGCCTTGCTGGGCCAAATGCATTGAATGTTTTATTCTCATAATTAGAGACTGTTATGGGGATTAATTGAAGTGAGTGCTAAAAGGTCGTTGGCATACAGTACTTGCTCCATAAACAGTGGCCAGTTGGTCCTTTGAGTGCCACAGACCGGGATGGGTGGCCTGAGTTCCCGGTCACCCCGACTGCTCCGGGCCCCTCCCTGATAGCCATGCTGGTCGTCTCAGGCCCTGCTGGGGGGCATGGGGTAGGCGGACTTGGAGCGAGCGGTGGGGGTGTGGTGCGGAGGCGGGGTTTGGGCGGCACGAGTTGGGGGAGTCGTCCAGCACCCTGGACAGCGCCTGCCGGCTCCGAGCCAGGGTACCTCCTCTCGGCCGCTCTCCGTGGGTCCCGCCCACCATCCGCCCATAGGTCGGCCCCGGAGTCCTCAGTGCTGGCTGCCGGGCTGTCCGTTGCCCCGCCAGCCGGTTGAGGGAGGGCAGCCCGGAGCAGATGGGCGGGGGACGCCCAGCCAGTTTGGTACAGCAACGGCCACGCGGCGCGGAGGCGGGCCCAGCGGACCGCTGGGGCCGAGGCGGGCAGCGGGGAGCAGGGAGCAGGGACTCAGGACCGCCCCGCCCCGCTCGTCACGTGCGCTCTGACTGTCCCGCGGGTAGGAACCCGCAGCTGGAGCCGGTGGAAATGAAAATGAGCCCAGGGCTCCTGGATTGCCTCGTCTTCTCTGGGCCTCAGTTTACCCATCCAAAACTGAGCACGGGAGAACACAATGATTCCTAACTTGGTGAACCGCTGGAAGGTTCTATGGAGTGACTAGAACCAGGGCAGGCAGTTCAGCGACCAGCCAGTTCCCAGCGGCTAGGGCCCGAGCAAGTCGACACTTTACTCGGCGTCCTCTTCCAGCTCGGCCCTTCAGTCCGCAGAGCAACTCGCGGGGGGAGTCCCTTCCCTTGGCTAGAAACCTACGTGGGGGCTCACTGAGGCCCGGGCCTCGGCGGCTCTGCAGCCGCTGGGTCCCCCGCCCCGGCGTAGGGCGGGGCTCAGAGGAGGCGCTGAGCTCGAAGGGCGGAGCTGGTCGAGGAGGAACGGTAGGCTGAGCGAGCTCGGGGCAGCCAAGGCTTCGATGGCGCCCACACATACCCCTGCAGGGGCTCGGGTGCGCCGCCGGCCCGCGACCCCGCCGCAGATGGGATGCGGAGGCCAGGAGCGGCACCCCGGGGGCTCCGCCGTCCCCGACCCTCCCCTGCCCGGCGAAGGAACAAAGGCGGGAGGTGGGACCCGCAGGCAGCCAGACTCCGTGGGGAGGGATGGGGCGGGGCGGGGCGGGGCGGGCGACACCGCCTCCTTAAAGCCGGGCGGCTGGCGAGGTGCGCACCCCTCCGGCGCCGGCTCCTGCAGCGCGCGGGACTTCCCCTCGGGCCTGGGTCTGTGCTCCGTGTGCGCGCGGGCACAGGTCTCCTACACGCGGGGCCCGCAGCGGCGCCGCTTCCCCGCCGAGCATGGGGCTGCCTCGGAGAGCGGGGGACCCGGCGGAGCTGCGCAAGGTAGGAGCTGGGGCGTGAGGGCTGAGCGGCCGGGGCGGGGACCGGGACTGCGACCCGCGTAACCTCAGCCTCGGCGCGCGTCCGCAGAGCCTGAAGCCGCTGCTGGAGAAGCGCCGCCGCGCGCGCATCAACGCAAGCCTGAGGCAGCTCAAGGGGCTCATCCTGCCGCTGCTGGGCAGGGAGGTGGGTGCCGCGGCGCGCGGGGCCGGGGTGGGGGCACCGGGCGCAGCGCGAGGAGGGCGGGTGGGCTGAGGGGCCCTTGCCCAAGGAGCCGGCGAGGGGGCTCCGCGCGGCGCGGGAGGCCGAGCCGGAGCGGGGCTGGCGCCGAGGGGCCGCCCCGCCCTGGGCCACGGGCGTCCGACACGCAGGCCAGAGACTGGTGCTCACGGCAGTCTGCGGGAGAGCTGTCTCGTTTGTCCGTGTCTCTGCCCCTCTCCCTCGTGGCCGGGCGCAGAGCTCCCACTGCTCGAAGCTGGAGAAGGCGGACATCCTGGAAATGACCGTGCGCTTCCTGCAGGAGCTGCCTGCGTCCTCCTGCGCGGCCACAGCGCCCAGTGAGTGGCCCGCCCCGCCGCGGCCCTGCCCCACGCCCGCCGCCCCGCACCCCACCGCGCGCCTCACGCCTCTTTCCGTCCGCAGCGCCCTCGGACAGCTACGGTGAGGGCTACCGCGCCTGCCTGGCACGTCTGGCCCGCGTGCTGCCCGCCTGCCGCGTCCTGGAGCCCGCCGTGAGCGCCCGCCTGCTGGAGCACCTGCGGCGGAGGGCGGCCGGCGCCACCCCCGACGGCGCGCGCGCTGGGGACTCCTGTGGCGCGGCCGCGCCTTCCCCGCCGCCCGCGCCTGCGCCTGCGCCGCCTGCGCCTCCCCGCGGCCCCGGCCTCTGGAGGCCCTGGTAGCCCCCTCGCCAGGCCACGGACCCCGCTGACTGCAAGAGACCGAGAGCGCCAGGCAGACCGAGGAAACTCGTGGTGCCGGCTGCTCTTTCCGCCCGGGGGACCAGCTCAGCACCCACCCCCAGGCTGGAACCCGGATGTTTGTGATCTGTGTGGCCGGCTGAAGGCGGTGGGGGCTCAGCTCGAGGAAATAAGGAGAGCAGCCCAACCTCTTGCGTGTGTCTGGGCTGGAGAACAGGGCAGGGGGCTGCAGCGGGAGGAAGGAGCTCCCCTCCTCAGCTGCTGGAAGGGGCTCTAGAACTGGGCCCCAGCACTGGCACCAGCCCAAAGGCTGCAACAGGAGCTCACCGGAGCCGGGTGCAGCCCTCTATTCTGACTGGTCGCTGCCTCCTTACAGCTCAGCCTGGGCACCTCTGGACACGCAAGAGCAATGGCCTGAGGAGCTCTGCGGGCTGGGCAGCCATCACCCCCACTCCTGGGCTCTCCTGTCCTGCGCTTGCATTGATAGGGACAGGGTGCAGCCAGGGCTAGGACTCTGTGTTGCTGGGGGTGAAGGCATGGTAAGATGGCCTTGGGAAGGACTTATTTCCCCAAGCATTCAGTGACCACCTATGTACCACACCCCAGTCTAGGGGGCCTTGGGGTGTGCGGAAGGGGTGGGATAAGAAGGAGGGTGCCCTGTGGCCTTAAGGAAGCTTGAGTCAGTGCCAGCGTGAGGTGAGCAGGCCTATGTCCTGGAGCGGCAGAAATTCCATTTACTTGCAGATAACAGCAAGTAAAGGAACAGGAAACACCTTTCCTGTCAGGACAGGTTACCGGAAGCCACTTGTTTCTCAGACTTCTTTTCCCTCTGCCCAGAAGCAAGGGGAGTCTGAGGAGACCTCAGGGAAGGGCGTGTGGCCCCCAGGCTTGGGTGCCCAGGAGAAGGCAGGGGCACCTGCGGCTCCTGGTTCACGGGGCTTCGCTGAGCACTCCAGGGAGGTTGGGACTCCCAACAGTCCCCAGTCCAACATCCTGAGCAGGGGACCAGGGCACTAGAGACAAGAGGAACTGATGGGGTGGGGGTGTTCACCAGATCCAAGTATGTCACAAAAAACCCTGGTGACCTGGGCACTGATTTGGGTGGCCAGATGTGGGACGCTGTGGGCGTTATCGAAGGAATCAATGTTAAGACAGCAGGGGAGCCCCCAGCAAGGTGTGCTGTCCTTTGTCCTCGCAGACCCAGCTGGCTGGACTGTAAGCTCCTGGAGGGCAGGGCTAGGGCTGAGCCTACCTCTGTGTCCCCACGGAACTCAGCACATGGTAGCTGCCCAATAAATATCGTGAACTAACAAACAGGTGATGTCGCTGGACCATAGCTGTATTGAACCCTTTTGCCACAACTCCCCCCCCCCCCCGCCCCCGGCCCTAATGTCACTTTGAAACTCTTTTCCACCAAAGCCTGTGTATCCGGAGGACAAATGTGGGGGAGGGTGGGGAGAGCAGAGAGAGCAGTGTCTGCTTGCTTCCTTGCTTCCCCCATTCCTGAGAATGTGAGCCTGCTCTCCTGAGCTGCCTGGAGCAAGTGGGGGAGGGACAGGTAACCTACACGCCCACACCCACGACAGAAGGTCAAGTTTCCTCTCTGGGTGAACCACTCCGCCTTGGGCACACACTGAGCAGGCTCCTTTTTTCCCTAACAAATAAGAGCTTTCCATACAGGTTTGAACTCTGTAAGAACTGATCCACCAGAGGCCCCTTTCCTCCTTTGGGTCATATTTGCCTCTTCTTGCTTCTGAGCCCCTGACTCCAATCAAGCTGTATTACAAGCAGTCAGGGAGGATGGGAGTGTAGACAGGGCAGTGACTCAGGATCAGGCGTTCCAGGGAACCTGAACCAGGGGGCCCCCCGGGCCCTGGCAGGGAGCTGAGGCATGCCCAGGTGGGTGAGGTTCTGGGCTGGCAGCGAGAAGCCGGTTTCCCAGCAGGGATGGGCAAAGAGCTGCCCAGAAGTTCTGAGCTGGGCTTATGAAATAGGGAGAACACCGGCCTCCTCCACGGGACGCCTGAAAGCACCTCCCCAGGTGTCCTGAGGGCGAGTCCAGGGCAGTGCAGGCTTTTTCTATGTGGGAGGGAGGCTGCCTCACTCGGGGGCATTTCATGAGCTTCAACAAGGCCCACATTGTGCCCGTTGGCCAGCTCTTATGATGCCCTCTGCTCTGGTCCCATGACTGAATCTAACTCTCGAACTCTGTCTGGTTATCACGCTTGGTTGGAGAAAAGGCTCCTGTGTCTCTCATAAACCTGTGGGAGAAATGATCCAATGACCAGAGCACTGAGCTGTCTGGGAAACTCAGGCTGGGGCCAAACCCCACGTGTCCCCCCGGCGCCAGTTAATTTGGAAAGGTCAAATCTCAGCTTCCATGAGTGAGGATAAAGAGCAGGTTGCCAAGGAGGACTCCTTTAATAAACATTTGCAAATTGCTCTTCTCTGCCTGTGACTACCAGACTCTGCCAATGAGTCTCCCACTTGTTTCCCTGTAATAGGATCAGAAGGAACATAGCCTGTGGGGAATGTCTGGAGAAATGTGCGGCTCTGCAGAACCCCCCTCCCCATCATGCTTTGGGATGAACACGCTGGAGACCGCGATGGGACAGAGGGAGCTTCCCCATCATGTGCAGCTACCTCCTACTTGAAACATCAACATGCGGCCGTATTTACTTATTAAAAACACACCAGGTTGCTATAGATGTCCCAGAGAAGAGCTAACCCAGCCAATGATGTTTTTTCCCTGGGTTTTACTTCGTGCCTGGCTGCTTACCAGTGTGGCTGTCTCAGGGTACTGACCGAGTACCTGGGTGTGCGTGTGTGTGTGTGTGTGTGCATGTGTGTCCCTGCACAGCCAGGTGACTGCCCTGCAGGGAGCTGCCTGGGCATGTGATATGGAGGAGAAGGCTGCCACCCACTGAGGGTTCCCAGTGAGCAACTAGTTTCACTCTGGGTTTTGAGAGGGCCTGGCAAAGCCCCAGGCGCTTAAGGCAGCTATAATGAAACTTTGAATGGTTTCAGGGGCGTGAGAAAGGCACTTAATGGGCACGCCCAACGTGCACGTGTGGTGTCTTGTCACTGAGATCCATTGCAGGGCAGGAGGGAGCAGGGGTCCAGTGGCTGGTCACAGGAGCCTGCTTTGGGAGGCAGGGTTCCCTGGCCTGCGTGTTAAGAAAGGAGATTCCAAGCTGAATGTGTGCCCACTGCTGGTTCTCTTGGTGGAGGCTGGGTCCAGAGCCACCTGCCATGGTGTTTGGTATATTACAAACCTGAGGGAGAATGGAGCCAAGTTCTTAAAGAACAAAGAACCACTCTAGACCTCAGAAATCAAAGGCAGATCCAGGTTTTGTGTGGATACATTCTAATAGAAAATTATGAATACAGACTTGGTGTGAAAATAAATATTCAGAGTGAAAAAGTAAGTCACATCAAGCTAGTGGTGCTTGCAGATTGATGTCCTTGCTTTTGGTTTCTCTTTAAGCAATTCATCAGACACACTTCCTGGTGACAACCCTGGCCTTTCCTCTGTTCCAGAACATTCTACCACGTTACGCCCTTGCTTGGGAGCAGATCTGAGCTTAAGCTTCATCAGTCTCCTGGTAAATTCAGAATGGACTCTCAATGCTCAAATTTAAGAGTCCAGAATGCTCAAATGACAGTAACAAGGTAAATGCCTTCCATTTGCTGCACCCATTCATTACAGGCTATTATATTATAGGATATATATTTACACAAACATTTACTGCATTTATGACACTTTTTTTCTTTACCTCTTTCTGGGAAGCTTGTGAAAAGCAGATTTCCAGGTCCCACTTCCGAGGGTTCTGATTCCCTGTGTCTGAGTCGATAGCCTCACCATACACCTGAGGCCAGGTTAGTCTGCTCTAACAAAGACACCGCCTCTGAGGATGGTGGGTGCCAAGGGCTGGGGGAAGGGAAGCGGGAGGTAGTGTTCAGTGGAGACAAAGATCCACTTTTCAAGATAAAGAGTCTTGGGGATAGGTGGTGTTGGTGGTTACCTTAATAAGGTAAATGTACTTAATGCCACTGAACTCCACACTTACAAATGGTTAAGATGGTAAATATTATGTGTATTTTACCGCCAAAAAAGAAGAAGAAGGAGGAGGAGGAGGAGGGAAGGGGGACAAGGAGGAGAAGAAGAAGGAGGAGGCAGAGAAGGAGAAGAAAAGAAGGAAGAAGAAGAAGAAGAAATGAAAAGAGACCATATCTGCAATTGGGGCTACTACTTGATTAAGTTTGCAGTAGGTTGTTCTAGAGGATCCGTGGTTTTCATAGTAAGTAGACTGGTCAATTAAATTAAGCTACAATAAATGGTGTGCCTGGCTGCCTCAGTCGGTAGAGCATGTGACTCTTGATCTCAGGGTTGTGAGTTTGAGCCCCACGTTGGGCAGAGAGATAAATTAAGCTATGATGCATCTTCTAGGTCTTTTAAGAGTGTCATAAATTTTTGTCACTTTGGGGATCTAGACTGTTTTGATTTACTATCCTTGTTGGGGGCAGTTTTGCACTTTTTTCTCTTTTTTTTTGACCATTTTTAAAAATTGAAGTATAATTGACATACGGTATTGTACTAGTTTCAGGTGCACAATATATGATACAACAATTCTATATACTCCTCAGTGCTCATCTTGATAAGTGTCTTAATCTCCTTTATCTATTTCACCCATACCGCACCCACCTCCTCTCTGACAACCACCAGTTTGTTCTCTGTATTTAGGAGTCTGGCTTTTTGTCTCTTGTTTTCTTTGTTTATTCATTTGCTGTGTTTCCTAGATTCCATATATGAGTGAAATCATACAGTATTTGTCTTTCTCTGACTTCTTTTGCTTAGAATTATACCTTCTAGGTCCACCCATGTTGTCACAAATGGCAAGATCTCATTCTTTTTTATGGCTGAGTAACATTCTATTTATATCTGTGGTATATATATATCTCACATCTTTTTTTTTTTTAAGATTTTATTTATTTGACAGAGACACAGCAAGAGAGAGAACACAAGCAGGGGGAGTGGGAGAGGGAGAAGCAGGCTTCCCGCTGAGCAGGGAGCCCGACGCAGGGCTCGATCCCAGGATTCTGGGATCATGACCCGAGCCGAAGGCAGACGCTTAACGACTGAGCCACCCACGCGCCCTACACCACATCTTTTTTATCCTTCTTTGTCATCTTTATCGATGGACCCTTGGGTTGCTCATGTATCTTAGTTATTGTAAATAATGCTGCAGTAAACATAGGGGTGCATATGTCTTTTCAAATTAGAGTTTTTGTTTTCTTTGGGTAGATACCATAGTGGAATTACTGGATCATATGGTAATTCTATTTTTAATTCTTTGAAGAACCTCCCTACTGTTTTCCACAGTGGCTGCACCAATTTGCATTCCTACCAACAGCACAATTTGCCTCCACGTCCTTGCCAACACCTGTTGTTTCTTGTCGTTTTGACTCTAGCCATTCTGACAGGTGTGAGGTGATGTCTTATTGTGGTTTTGATTTGTATTTCCCTGATGATGAGTGATGTTGAGCATTTTTCATGTGTCTGTTGGCCATTTGTATGTCTTCTTTGGAAAAATGTCTATTTGTGTCTTCTGCCCATTTTAATCAGACTATTTGGTGGGGTTTTTTGGTGTTGAGTTGTATAAGTTCTTCCTATATTTTGGATAGTAACCCCTTGTTGGATGTATCATCGGCAAATACCTTCTCCCATCCAGTAGGTTGCCTTGTTGTTTTGTTGATGGTTAACTTCGCCGAGCAAAAGCTTTTTATTTTGATGTTGTCCCAATAGTTTAATTTTGTTTTTGTTTCCCTTGTCTGAGGAGACAGATCTAGAAAAATGTTATGGCTGATGTCACAGAGATTACTGCCTGTGTTTTCTTCTAGGAGTTTTATGATTTCGGGTCTCACATTTAGGTCTTTAATCCATTGTGAATTGATGTGTGTGTGTGGTGTGAGAAAGGGGTCTAGTCTCATTCTTCTGCCTGTGGCTGTCCAGTTTTCTCAGAGGTTTGCATATTAAAAAAAATAATTTGTTAAAAAAAAAAGAAGGAATAAAAGGGCTCCTGGCAGGCTCAGTCAGTGGAGCGTGTGACTCTTGATCTCAGGGTTGTGAGTTCGAGGCCCATGTTGGGTGTAGAGTTTACTTAAAAAAAAAAAAGAAAGAAAAAATAATTTGTTAGTAATTTAATGATAACTTTAGCAACTTATTAGTATATATATACTGATGATTCAACAGATGCTAACTATTCTTCTATTCCAAAATTAGCATTCTATTTAAGAAAATGATATGCACGGATAGACGTGTGATAGTGCTTCACTTCTAAAAACAGAATGGCATGGGAGGGCATTCAGTTAAGGGACAGTATTTTCTCCACGAATGCTTTCATTCATCTTTTTTGCATCTCTTTTATCTACCTTGGGTTTTTCTTTAATTCTAGCTTAAAGCCTATTCTACTGAGTCCTTCACTTTCCCAACCTCACTAATATGACTCTGTCATGTTTGGCTCAGGTATAGAAGGATTCTACAATGTGTATAGACTCGTGCAAACAAAACCAAAGTGACAAACTGTCCCATGTCTCACCATTCTACATTCTTATAGTCCACACATTGTAGCACTGCTTCCCTATAGGTCAGGTGCAAGTATCTAAACCCCAGGAAATTGCTGATTTAGAGGTTCACACTTGACCCTCCCCACTATGATAGGTCTTACCCCAGAGGCCACAGAATTAAGGGGCTGTGCCAAATACCAAGTTTCTCTATTCCGATTATACTTTGGGGGACCAGAGAAATGACCACAGTGTTCACACACCTAGTGGACCCGTCGTGACCAAGATTCCACTGATGCCCTGGCCTCCATCATGTCCCCACCCAAAGAGGGATATGTGATGACACTTTGGATCTTCAAAGATCCACGTGAACGTGGACTCTGTGTCTGATGGACCAGGGAATGTTCGCACATTACACCTCGCCTAGGGCACAGTTATCCAAATAAGTGCCATTGGTTCCTTGGTGGAAGTCTGGGAGGAATCATGACTCTATACATTTGCTTTGTGTCTCGAGGTCCTGGGGTCCCAGCCTTGCTTCAGTCAGTGGGTTCCAGATCCAAACATTGTCTCAGGTCATGGAAGGCAGGCAAGGACTCATTACTTTTTATTGGGGTCATTGCCATAGTCCCTGGTGAGCATCTTTTATTTCTTCTAATTGTACAGACTGAGCAGTCCCCTCGTTGGCTGCCTGTCTGTTTTGCCCCCTGGGATGCTGAGTTTTCATAGCTGTCACCGTAACTCTCTGTGGATCAGGCCTCCCTGGCTGCCACCTTGTGTCTGTCGCTCGTTACAATCATTCTGATCTCCTGGCTCCTGACAGCGCTGTCAGTGCTAACATCAGGCCTCTGTGGTTTTGGAGTCCGTCACCCTGGATGACAGTGATCCTGCTCTTGCAGTGGCATCTGCTTGGTAAGGATGCTGGTGCACCTTCACCGTGCCTTCCTTACTCATTTGGTAAATGTGTATCCTTCAGGTCCTCCTGAGTAGCCTACTCATCTGGAGCTTTTTCCAGCCTTACATAGCATGTCCATGGTAGCATGGCCCCTTCTCTGAGCCTTTTAGGCATGCCTGGCCTCCCTTAGAGTGGGCCATCACCTCATCATGTCACTAAGAGCCACCTTGGCCACATGACCGCACCATCTCAACATATAAATGCCAGTGTGATAAAGCCAGAGTTCGGGGATGATGCTCTCAAAGCAATACCCTCTCCCTTAACCAACTGTTTTCCACCTCCTTTGAGCATCCTTGGAATCTGATCTCCTCCATGTGTTCCCTCTAGAACCTGCATCTCCTTGGCTTGTGGTCCCTGTCCTCCGTCACCAGGTCCAGCACGGCCCAGCCAGGCTCTGGAATAACTTAACCCCAGTTATTAGCCTCATGGCCAGAAGGGGAAGCAGGGCAGGTCCTGAGGGGCTCGTGTCCTTGCCCTCATTTCTGCTCCCACCACATTACTTTACTTCCTGATAGATCACACTGTTTAGGGCATCTCTTTCCAGTAATGTACTAATTGCACTGGGTTCAGTAGTGTCCCCCTAGAAACTCATGTCTTCCTGAAACCTCAGAATGTGACCTTATTTGGAAATAGGATCTTTGCTGGTATAATTAAGTAAAGGTGACGTCACTCTGGATTAAGGTGGGCTCTAAATCCAATGACTGGTGTCCTGATGAGAGGAGGAGAGGACAATAAGGACCCAGAGAGGAGATGGCCATGTGAAGACGAGGCAGAGGTTGGAGTGGTGCAGCCTTAAGCTAAGGAACTCCTGGGGTCCCCAGAAGCCAGGAGAGGCGAGGAAGGGTTTGTCCCAAGAAACTTCAGAGGGAGCGTGGCCCTGCTGACACTTCGATTGGGGACTTCTGGCTTCTGAACTGTGAGAAAATAAATTTCTGTTGTTTTAAACCATTCAGTTTGTGGTACTTTGTCATGGCAGCCCTAGGAAACTGGTCCACTTGGTATATCATTGCCAACTGTAACCATTGGGGAAGACAATTTATTTTTAATTTTTTTTTACTTTAAAAAGATTTAAAAAGAGAGAGAGAGTGCGCACACGTTGGGGGTTGTAGGGGGACCTACAGACAGAGGGAAAGAGAGACTCTTGAACAGACTCCCTGCTGAGCACAGAGCCCGACTCGGGGCTCGATCTCGTGACCCTGAGATCATGACCTGAGCCAAAACTGAATCAGACACTTAACCAACTGAGCCACCCAGGCACCCCTGGAAGACATTTAAAAATCAGCTTTATGTGGATTATATCTACTATTTACTCTATTAGAAATTAAAAAGAAATTTAAAAACTTTATGTATCAACTCACTAAAAACAACAAATACATGCATTATACGTTAGCATGTACAACTTATTTTCAGTAAGAAATATATTTTTTGAAACAAAAATTTTGGAGACAAGAGTGACATTGTTTTGTAGCTTTGCAAATCTCTGTACTATGGATTTTTTTTTTTTTAACATTTTATTTACTTACTTGACAGAGAGAGAGACAGCAAGAGAGAGAAAACAAGCAGAGGGAGTAGGAGAGGGAGAAGCAGGCTCCCCGCCGAGCTGGGAGCCCAATGCGGGGCTCGATCCCAGGACCCTGGGACCATGACCCGAGCCGAAGGCAGACGCTCAACGACTGAGCCACCCAGGCGCCCCTGTGCTATGGATTTTAATAGAGGACAGCTGGATTCTCCTAGCTCCTTCTGCACTCAATGTGTTGCGATACATTTGTTTCACTGGAAGCGTGTGAAAACACACATAAATACATAGCTGGAAAAGGGAGGAGTATTTTAATATTTTAATGGTCTTTTCAGGGAATTATGGACATTTTTCTTTGCTACTATGCCAAAACTCAGCATGTGCTAGCTCCTTAAAGGTGAGTCACAATGTAGAATCTGAAACCGTATGATATATTATTACTCTTTCATGCCCTGTTACACTCAACTTCACTGATCCATCTGGCATTTTTTTTAAGTGAGCTTTACGTCCAAGGTGGGTCTTGAACTCACACCCCTGAGATCAAGAGTCACATGCTCCACTGGCTGAGCCAGCCAGGTGTCCCTATCTGGCATTTTGAATGGGTCTTTTACTCATGTGTGATTATGTGATATCATGCATTAGTCTTCTGAAAAATATCGGTCCCTTGACTTATGCAGATCTTCCAAATATTGACTGATTTCATTATATAGTTTCATCACACATCAGGTAGCCTCTGGAAAAACCCTGTATATATATATTTTTAAGATTTTATTTCTTTGTCAGAGAGAGAAAGCACAAGCCGGGGGTACGACAGGCAGAGGGAGAAGCAGGCTCTCTGCTAAGCAAGAAGCCCAATGTGGGACTTGATCCCAGGACCCTGGGATCATGACCCAAACCGAAGGCAGATGCTTAACTGACTGAGCCACCAGGCGCCCCTAAAATTATAAAAATATAATTATAAGTTAATCAACAGTACAGTTATGATTTGTGCATTTTTTCTGCACGTGTGCTTTACTTATAAATATCTAGACGGTCTCTGTATTGTGTGATATCATAGTGTGATTGGTAGGTGCCTAGCCCACGGCCTGATATGCATAAGGTGCTCAATAAGTAGTTGTTGGGTGCATGAGAATGATCATCACTAATTAGTCATAATGTCGACTACCATTTATTGAGCTCTTCCCATGCACCAGGCACTGCTCTCAATGATTTTTTTTACGTATTAACTCATTTAATCCTCATACAAAGCCTATGAGGTATACACTGTTATCTTCATTTTGTAGATGAGGAACTGAAGCACAGAGGGGTCAAGGAACCTCTCTGAAGCCACACAGCTCGTAGGTGCCTGAAGGTGTGTTCTTGCTGCAGGGCTCTGGGTCCCTTCATTTTAACCTTCACCAAACTAATTAACCTTCATCTACCAGTTATGAAATGACCCCCCTCAGGACACAGATACCATATCCAACTGTGTTACTCTACCACCAAGGAGTAAAAGTGGTCTGTGACCTGGGCATTTATTTATTTATTTATTTTTTAAAAAGATTTTATTTATTTGACAGAGAGAGACACAGCGAGAGAGGGAACACAAGCAGGGGGAGTGGGAGAGGGAGAAGCAGGCTCCCTGCAGAGCGGGGAGCCCGATGCGGGCCTCGATCCCAGGACCCTGGGATCATGACCTGAGCTGAAGGCAGTCGCTCAACCAACTGAGCCACCCAGGCGCCCCCATGACCTGGGCATTTAAATGAGCATTTGGAGGTGTCACCCAAATCTCTCGCCAGGCGAGAGCTCGGTTAGGAAGCAGTCCTCTCTGGGGAGCCGGCTCAGGGGCAGAGAGCGGCCTCTGCTGGGGGGTGGGGCTGGGAGCCCAGGAGCTGCCCCCCCCCGGGGTCCTTCACCGCTCACACATTCGCCTGGGACCCGGTTTAAGCACCTCTAGCAAATAAGGGCCCCTTGACTTCACACAGCAGTCGCTTGAGGCATGAAACCAGCATCGTTTTCCTCTAGGGCCTTTGAGAAACTGTAATTATATCCCAGTTTTTTATTATCATGTGTGCAACAAAAATAGAATTTCCCTCACGCTGAGTGGCTTCTGTTGTCATCACAGGGCTCCCGGGATAAGTTTTAGTAAGGGGAAATTTATTCTGATTTTGAGCAAGATCTGCAGGCCGGCGGAGCCCAGGCTAGGGCCTGGCGGAGGGAAGGAGGCGGCGCTGGGGGGCTCGGCCTCTAGGTGGAGCCACAGAGCTTCACACCCCGCTGACCAAGGGCCGAGGGGCTCCGAAGGGAGTGGAACTCTCACAGGCTAAAGGCGCTTTGAAGACCGCCTCTCACTAACACGTTAACGTGCCCGCGCCCGGCCATGGCTCTCATTGTACATTTACAGCATGACCTACTTAGAGTTGTAGAGATGATTTCTAAATGCTTTGTTTGGAAGATGAATCTCCATGTGTCTTCTCCATATAATGACCCATTTGTTCTTGGCTTGCCCTCTTGCATTATGGCTCCTGCTTTCAAATGCGTGGTTTATTACTTCTGAGGTGTTCACTGTGGGCCCCAAGTCCCAGGGCTCGATCTTACATGTGCTGGGGGTGGGGTGGGTGCCAGTGAGGTCTCTACGCAGCCTCTGCCGTCCTCCCTGAGATGCTGGTCCTCCCTCTGTGAATGGAGGCTACCCTTCTGGATCTGCAGGTTTCCCACTGGCAATAGACTGAGGTGCTTGTCCACTGCATTGCGTGGACAAGATGCGTAATCATGAAGTGTCCAGCGTCTCCTAGGAGGAAAAACAAATCTTTAGTAAAACAGCTAAATAGTACTGACATTTGAAGAAGAAGACAGAGGGCACAGAGGGGCCAGGACCTCCCCTCCAGGCTGCGTCCCGTGCTTGATACTCAGGAGGACATGGCAGACCTTGGGGAGTCCTGCGGTGTCCTTCTCTTGTGGCCATCCCTGCTTGAATTGGCTGGAGTCTTCTTCCCGGACCCCAATCGGAGTGCTCTGGCTCAAGGCACACTGAATCCCATCTGGGCAGACCATCCGGGCAGCCCCTCAGGACCTCACCAGCTGCTTCACGAAACCTTACACTGAACTTCCTCCGTGCCAGGCACTATTCCAAGTACCTTATACCATCAACTTATTTACTCCTTCCAACAACGGAAGGGGCAGGTACTGTTGTTTCCTCATGTTTCCTAATAAGAGAGCCAAGGCACAGGTGGATTATGAGCCAACGTAAGTCCACACAGTGGGGCTTACGTGGCAGGGCCTGGGGCCTGGGGCTTAACTGAGCCACCCAGGCGCCCCAGTGATCGCATTTCTGATAAAGCAAGTTGGGCACAGAGCGAAGGTGACTTGCCCAAGGCCATACAACTGATAGATATACATGAACACAGGAATTTGACTACCTAATCCATGCCCATGACCACAACTCACTACTTCCCTAAAATATATATATATTTTTGAAAAGTCCATAATTCCAGGGGTGCCTGGGTGGCTCAGTTGGTTAAGCATCTGCCTTCGGCTCAGGTCATGTTCCCAGGGTCCTGGGATCGAGCCCTGCATCGTGCTCCCTGCTCACTGGGGAGCCTGCTTCTCTTTCTCCTCCCCGCTCTTGCTATCTCTGTCTCTCTCAAATAAATAAAATCTTAAAAAATAGATGTAACTACTCATAACAAAGATGTGTTTCTGAGTGTGGTCCTGTGTCCGGGACACTGAAAGCCCAGGTGAGGCGAAAAGCCACCCACCCTGGCATCTCTGAGCACCCAGGCTGCTGCAGCTCACCTGCTCAGAGCAGCTGCTTCCTCCCTTCCTCCCCTGGGGCCTAGAGCAGCCTGGCAGGGGTGGGGTGGGGGCAGGGGAGGAGCAGGGCAGCTGTCTTCTTTGCAAAGTTCGCTCCAGTTCACTTATTTTTCTTTTTTTAAGATTTTATTTTTGGGGCGCCTGGGTGCTTCAGTCGGCTAAGTGTCTGCCTTTGGCTCAGGTCACGGTCCCAGGGTCCCGAGATCGAGCCCCGCATCGGGCTCCCTGCTCGGCGGGAAGCCTGCTTCTCCCTCTCCCACTCCCCCTGCTTATGTTCCCTCTCTCCCTGCGTCTCTCTGTCAAATAAATAAATAAAATCTTTAAAAAAAAATGATGAACCCACACACAATCACCCAGGTCAAGAGAAGAAACGTGAATATACCCCCGTACTCTCCCCATTCCACGTCACCCTCTGATGACAACACTCTCCCTTCCATTGGAGGGACTCACTATCCTGACTTCCCTGACAGTCATACCCTTGTTTCTCTTTATAGCTTTTACCACCTACTTATATTTTCCTAACAGAGTTATTTATTTTTCATTTATTCTTAGCAACTTTCAGTTACACAATACAGTGTTCTCAACTATAGTCACCGTGTTATATACATTAGATCCTCAGACCTTATTCATCTTATAGCTAAAAGCTTGTACAATTTTACCAACCTCTTCCTATTTCCCCCAACCCTCAGCCCTGGTGACCACTTTTCTACTCCCTATTTCTATGAGGTCAGTGTTTTTTTCTAGAGGATTCTACATATAAGGCATACCATGCAGTATTTGTCTTTCTCTGTCTGGCTTATTTCACTTAGTGTAATGCCATCCAGGTTCATCTATGCTGTTGCAAATCACAAGATTTCCCTCCTTTTTTTTTTTTTAAAGATTTTATTTATTTATTTGACAGAGAGAGAGAAACAGCGAGAGGGAACACAAGCAGGGGGAGTGGGAGAGGGAGAAGCAGGCCTCCCGCTGAGCAGGGAGCCCGATGCGGGGCTCGATCCCAGGACCCTGGGACCATGACCTGAGCTGAAGGCAGTCATTTGAGAGAGAAAGAGAGAGCACAAGAGGGGGTGGGGTCAGAGGAAGAAGCAGACTCCCTGCCGAGCAAGGAGCCCGATGCGGGACTCTATCCTAGAACCCTGGGATCATGACCTGAGCCAAAGGCAGACGCTTAACCGCCTGAGCCACCCAGGGGTCCCAGAAGTATGCCTTTTCCATATTTTATTACATCTTAGTTGTATATTCCCCCCCTGTGAATATAGACACTTAAGAAATATATAAATGTTTTATAAAGGGGTATATTATACTTATATTGTTGTATAACTTGTATTTTTTTAACAAATTGTGAACCTTTTTCCTTCTTAGCAAATATTAATCTATATTACCATTATTAATGGCTCCATACATTTTCCTTAATATGAATGCATCATATTTTATTTAATTTTTGAATTATATAACCGTGACAAAAAAAATTGAGATGTAGTCAAATTCCATTTTTGCTATTGATTGTCTGAAAGAATGTTTTTATTTTATTTATTTATTTATTAAAGATTTTATTTATTTATTTGAGAGAGAGTGAATGAGAGAGAGCACATGAGAGGGGGGAGGGTCAGCGGGAGAAGCAGGCTCCCTGCCGAGCAAGGAGCCCGATGCGGGACTCGAACCCGGGACTCCGGGATCATGACCTGAGCCGAAGGCAGTCGCTTAACCGACTGAGCCACCCAGGTGCCCCATGATTTTATTTATTTAAGAGAGATAGAGCATGAGAGGGGGGAGGGTCAGATTGAGAAGCAGACCCCCAGCCGAGCAGGGAGCCCGATGCGGGACTTGAACCCGGGACTCCAGGATCATGACCTGAGCCGAAGGCAGTCGCTTAACCGACTGAGCCACCCAGGCGCCCAACACTTACCTTTTTGATAACAGCACAGATAGAGTGTTTGCTCTACGTACACGTGGCTTGATACTATATATTCTTCTGGATCTTTCTTCTTTTCCTCCACGTTGTGATTCCTCCTTGCGTGTAGTTAAAGTTCACGGGTTTTCACTACTCGGTGTTGCACTGGTGAGTGTCCTACAATCTCTCAAGCTGGTATGCTGCTGAGGGACATGTGAGTTCCAGTTTGGGGTTATCACAAACAGTGTTGCTGTGACTCCTCTTCGAAGCCTATCTGGTGACCTCATGTTCAATATATTGGCAATGTACCTGGTAGTAGGATTTCTGGGTCAAACGCTATGGCTCTTTCCAACTTTAACAATTATCTTCAGCTATTTTCCAAAGAGGCTGCACCAACTTATATTTCCACCGTCAGCATATGCGAGTCCCTATTGCTTCATATCTGATACTCCATATTGACTTGAAAAAAATAATAAAACAGCCAAGAGATTAGATGGTAACAGTACAAAAATATATAAATTAGGGGCGCCTGGGTGGCTCGGTCAGTTAAGTGGCTGACCCTTGATTTCGGCTCAGGTCATGATCTCAGGGTTGTGGGATCGAGCCCCAAGTCTGGCTCCATGCTCAGCAAGGATTTTCTCTCTCCATCTGCCCTCCCCCTCAAATAAATAAATAAATCTAAATCTTAAAATATATATATATGTGTGTGTGTATATATATATACATACACACACATATATATAAATATATATATATAAATGGAAAGCAAAGGCCTCACCCCTTCTGCCCAAAGGTTACCAGTGTCAATAGTTTCTTAACTGTCTTTCCATAGGGGTGCTTGGGTGGCTCAGTTGGTTAGGTGTCTGCCTTCGGTTCAGGTAGTAATCCCGGGGTCCTGGGATCAAGCCCTGCATCAGGCTCCCTTTCTCAGTGGGGAGTCTGCTTTTCCCTCTCCTCTGCCCCTGCTCACTCTCTCTTGTGCACACATTCTCTCTAATAAATAAATAAAATCTTAAAAATTAGTATCTTTCCTTAAAAATTTGCAGACACTATTTAAATAATATATGTAAACTTTTTATTTTTATTTTATTTTTTTATATGTAAGCTTTTAAAATGACAATTTATGGATACTATTTTTAGTCCAATGAAAGAGTGGGGAAATTAAGGAGAATGAATCAAATAGCTGCTGCGGTCCAGTATGTTGCTGTAAACCTCTGTTGAGTCGATCACTGGTAAAATATTTCCTGAGCGCTTGTTACAGGCGAGGCACTCTTCTAGGGGCTTGGCATACAGCAATGAAAAAAGAGTAAAAAAAAAAAAATCCTGCCCCCATGGAACAGGCATTCTGGTTGGGGGAGACGCAATAAATAGATGAATAAAATATATGTTAAGTGGCATTAAAGGTTAAGGGTTAAGGAGAGGGGAGCGTCTGCCTTTGGCTCAGGTCGTGATCCTGGGGGTCCTGGGATCGAGCCCCACATCGGGTTCCCTGCTCAGCCTGGAGCCTGCTTCTCCCTCTCCCTCTGCTGCTCCCCCACTTGTGCTCTGTATCTCTCTCTCTGCGTCAAATAAATAAAATCTTAAAAAAAAAAAAGAGAGATAAGGGGAAAAAGAAGTCAGGGAGAGAGGTAGGGGTGCTGAGGAACAGCAGTTTTAGAGAGGTGGCCAGGGAAGGCCTTGTTTATAGGTGATATTTTAGTAAAGACCCAAGGAAGTGAGGGCTGAGTCTCGGGGGTGCTTGAAGAAAGAGCGGTCAGGTGTAGTCAAGGACCAACTGAGGGGTCACAGAGGAGGGACTCAGCGAGCAAGGAGGAGAGCAGAGATGAAGCCATGTGGATGGAGGTGTGGGCAGATTCTTGAATGCCACGGGGAGACGGGGCACATTCTAGACTTACTTTGAATGCAGAGCTGGCAGGATTTGCTGGTGGGCTGGATGAGGGCTGGGAGAGAAACAAGTCACGGGTGACTCCTCAGTTGTTAGCTTAAGCAATAAGAAGGAAGAAACTCCAACGGGGAAGACCGTGAGCAGCAATTTCAGGGGGAGCATGAGATGCTTACTACAGAATTGGGGTGACGTGTGGGCCAGGCAAGAGGACGCATGTGTCCAGAATTCAGGGGAGAGGTCTGGGCCTCCCCTGGGGCAGAACCAGCAGAGCAGGCTGAGCAAAATGGCCAGAAAAATAGCAGTGTGTGGTGTCTTGGAAGGCAAGGAATAAGCGTTTCAAGAGAGATGACTTCTGACAACGGATTACTGGATTTAACAACTTGGAATTAGTGACCTTGATACATTGAGCCGCAGAGACAAAACCCAGATGGAACGGGTTCAAAAGAGAAAGGGGGGTGGGTAGAGGACAGAGAGTGTATATATTAACAGCTCTTCTGAGAAGTTTTGCTGAAACGCAGGGACAGAAATGGCCCGTCAACTTTGGGAGAAAGTAGGAAAAAATCCCAAAGTGGGAAGGTGGGGGACTGTAAGGTGAGAGACCAGTATAAATCCATCAGCGCTTTATAAAGACAATTCATGATGTTTTTGCTATGGGATTGCCCTTCCCCACCCCCACTGCTGACCTTGAACACTGGGCAAGGGCATAAACAACTGGCAATTATAGACAAGTGGTTAATCCCGAAGCACCGTTTTCTCTGCAGAACCAGGACACAGGCTCCCTCGGCTACTGGACAAGCTGTCACATGGAGAAGGTTGACATGCTGTCTTTGGCCAAAGAAGAGCCACACCCTTTCCCAAAGGTACAGATGTTGTTCCAGATCTTTCTGTCCCCCTCTGGGAAGCACTGGGCTATCTCCTGAAGCATTCACCCCATTCCCTGGTCTAGGAATTTGGTTCAGCATGTGGTCACAGCCAGGCTTTTTGTGTCCCCAATCTGTCTCCCAATCAGATCTGGAGCTTTTTTATTTATTTATTTATTTATTTATTTTTAAAAAAAACTTTATTTATTTGACAGAGAGACACAGCGAGGGAGGGAACACAAGCAGGGGGAGTGGGAGAGGGAGAAGCAGGTTTCCTGCCGAGCAGGGAGCCCGATGCGGGGCTCGATGCGGGGCTCGATCCCAGGGCCCTGGGATCATGACCTGAGCCAAAGGCAGACGCTTAAGGACTGAGCCACCCAGGCGCCCCAGATCTGGAGCTTTTTGAAGAACAAAAATGTATCCAACTTCATGGGAATGCTCCAACCTATACAAATAGGCAGGGTCTCTGTAAATCCTTATTCCATTGCACTGACTGCGTGGGAAGAGCTGTTTAGAGAAAACTAACATTTGAGTGGGAAAGGTGAGAACAAAGAGGAAGAAGGCCCTAGTTATTAATGTGGTAGGCCCCTTACCTTCATTACCTCATTTCTCCTGTGTAAGGTCAGAAAGGTATTACTCCCAATGAACCCATGAGGAAACTGCCTTGCCTAAGGCTCCAAAGCTGGTTATTGCTCCCAGGGTCCCATAGTAAGAAATCCATCAACTTTGGGACCCATCCTGGGAAGAGGTGGTGGTTAACCAGGCTTGGTGACCCTTGATGTTTGCATCGACTTAATTCATTCTACAAAACAAAATTTCTAGTGCAATAATGTTAAATCATAGATGGGATCTGGGCGGCCTCCTTGGGTCTGGTAATGCAAGAGTGACCAGGATGAGGCACGATTCCTTCAGAGCTATTTAGTTTAGAATAAATGGGTTTTCAAACTTCACTGAAGAGCTCGAGTTCTGTGGGTTTCATTTGATTTTTAACAATCTGACTACAGGGGCACCTGGGTGGCTCAGTCGTTAGGCGGCTGCCTGCGGCTCAGGTCATGATCCCAGGGTCTTGGGATGCGGGGCTCGGACTCCCTGCTTGGCGGGAAGCCTGCTTCTCCCTCTCCCACTCCCCTGCTTGTGTTTCCTCTCTTGCTGCCTCTCTGTCAAAAAATAAATAAAATCTTTTAAAAAAATCTGACTACAAAAGCAATTTATGTTCATTTTAACAAATGGAAAAATTGGAAAAAGGCAAACCTCACACGGGGTAAAAAGCTTTCTGTAATTTTGACATGTAGAAGCAATCGCCTTTTTCCTCTTTGGTGTATTTTGGGCATGTTTTGTGACCCCGACTTGACCTGGGCTCCATGGCAGAGCATACGGTGTGCAACGTAACAGATCAGCAGCAGGGCTCCTACTGCAGCATGCACGCCCCCAAGCAAAAGCTCTGCGCTCCCGGGAAGTCCTTCCGCACGAACCCCGAAGCGTTCTGCAGCGGTTTGCAGCGGGCGGTGTAGGCACATCCCCAGCCCAGCTCGGCGGCTGCAGCAGAAACACTGCGGGGCGGCCGGCTCCGGGCTCCCGGTTCCGCGCACCCAACCTCCCTCCCGGCACAACACACGTCAGCCCGATCGTAAATGCTCTTTTACGGGAAACCGCCTCCAATTTCCTGTCATGGCTGATTCGAGAAGGCGACACCCGGACGCGCACCCCCGTAGGCCCCTCTGCCGCACGCGGGCCAAGGCCGCCTCGCGGGGCGCTGTGACCTTCAACCGGCCGGAACGCCCCACACGAACACGCGCCGCGCGGCGCGAGGCTGATCCACGCGGCCGCCCCCCTCGGCGCCGCCCAACAGCCGCCGAACCTTCTAGAAGCGGCGCCCCACCGCGCCCCGCCGCAGCCAGCACCGGACGCCGCGGGAGCCGGCGGCGGCCCGAGGGGCGGGGCGCGCGGGGGCGGGGCCGGCTCAGGAGGCCGCGTTCGATTCGCCGCCGGCGCCCAGGCCCCGCCCCGCCGGCGCCATGGCCCCGCCTCCGCCCTCCCCCTCCATGGCGCCGCCCGGGCTCATTCATTCCGCGCCAGGCCTGCCAGCCACCTGCGCTCTCCTTCAGCCGCTCGCCGCCGCCGCCGGCATGTCAGGCCCCGCCGCCGAGACCCCGTCCGCCATCCAGATCTGCCGGTAAGCGGGGCGCGCGGCACGGCGGGCGGCCGGGACCCCGAGTCAGCGCCCGGGCCCGCCCCGGCCCGCCCAGGCCAGCGCCCCTCCACGCCCTCCCCCAGCCACCCCCGCCCCAGCCCGGTGCCCGGCCCGGCCTCTCCGGTTCGCCGCTCGCCCGCCGCGGCCGGGAAGCGCCTCGGACTCCGCAGCGCCGGCGGCCCCCGGCGCATCGCGGGGACGGCGCGGCGGCCACGCAGGCCGTTTGCGGGAAGAATCCGCGCGACGCCCTTCCGGGCGGGGTCGATGCGCATCCCCCGCGCCGCGCCCCGCCCCGCCGCGCCCGAGCGCACCCGAGCCCCAGGCCGGCTCCCTCTGAGCCCCCCTAGTTCGAGGGCATCGCCAACCCGATCCCCCGAGAGGTGGGGCGCAGATAACCAGCTCGCCCGGCGAGCCCTTGGGTGGGTACCCGAGTGGGCGGGGGCTGCAGAGGGGCATTCCCTTCCGTGTACTGCCTCGGCTTTTGCGGAAAGCCGGTGTTAACTGGAAGAGCAGAAAATACCCTTCCCTGCTGACGGTTTATTGCACCATTGAGCCTGGAATCATCTTACACAATGGGGACACAGGGTGGTTCTCCGCAGCGGACCACCCATACCTTCCTCCATGGGCCCTGGGTAGATAGAAGCCCCCAGAGGAAGCTGGAGATCGTGAGCCGGCTAATTTCCCCCTGGAGCGCTGAGGGCCGCCTCAAGGTTACTCTTCATCCCTTTGGGCAGAATCAGAAGCAGGCACGCTGGTATTTGAGCATGAGCTGAGTAATGAGTAAGGGCAAGAAGTCTGGGAAGGCCGCACTAGGACTGGGGCCTGCAACAGGGCTGTCCTGCCTGGTGCATCACTAAGAGTGAGCTGCTTCCTGGTATGGGGCTGGGCTCACACTGACCTTGGGTCCCAGCCAGGTGGGTTTCCCGTGGATGTTGACATCTCTCTGGAAAAGGCAGTGGCTGGGTGTGTATAGTAAGTGCGGGATCAATGGGGTGCCTTGACTCCATCCCACTTCTGACCGGGTCAGAAGCCTTTCCTGACCTCAAGGTCAGTTTTGAGTTTTCTGGGAAGAGGAGATTTTTAAGGGGAACCTTGCTGTGTTCCCTTTGTTGGCTGTGTGGTGGTCATGGCCCCACCAACTCCCGAGTTCCAGGGCAAAAATAATAGAAGCAACTGAGTTGGAAAAGGACGGGCCTGGAGTCAGGGCCTTGGATCAGGCTCTGCCTTGTATTGGCCAAGTGACCTTGGCATTCAATGTTTGCAAAGGGCCTGTGTATCTCTCGTCTCATTCGGTTTGCCCAACTTCCCTGGGAGGGAGGATGGCAGGGGTCTCACCGCTGTGAAGAGAGGAAAGAAACTGGAGGAGGAAATTGAGGCTCTGGGACCCCCAATGTCTCTGTAAGGTCATCCAGCCACAAGAGCCTGAAGGCAACCCCTGCCAGGTCATCTGTGTCCAGACCTGTGGATTTTCCACTGCACTCCCCCGCAAAAAAGAAGATACTGATTTCAATCTCCGCATATGTGTGTGTGCTTTTTGTCACCCTGGGTGTGTACCTTGCTGCCTCTGGCATATTCACAATTGCATATTATCTCTGAGTGGCCTTGGGACAGGTGGGCAGGAAGCCTGGCTGAGGTGAGCATCTGGTGCCCAGCACGATTGCTGATGGGAGTCAGGGCGGGGCTGTGAAGAGGGCTGTGGTCATAAGGGCTTGGCCCAGAGAAACCCCAGGACACTGGAGAGTGGACATACTAGGGCGGGGAGCCCTTTAAGGACATCTGAGCTGATACCCCGTGTTGAAAGAGGAGCCTCTTGGCCTGGGACAGCCAAGCCCATGAATTTAACAAGTTTCACTGGCTTGTGAAGGAGCAGAGTGCCATAGAGGGACGCTGACCGACATGGAAAATTTGGTCCCCACCTTCAGGGTGCTCACAGTCCAGCAGGGAAGGATGCCAGAACCTCCACCATCCTAGATAATTAAGAGTGGTCACATGTTCTCGGTTTGGAAGGAGGTGTTGAAGGGATGGGGCTCTAAAGGCTGGGGAAGGCAGTGGTTAGAACCAGCCCCGCAGTCCAACAAGGAAAAATGTAATCAGCTGACTAAACATTAGCATTAAACGAATTCAACCTCCACCCATTTGGAAGCTGCCTGGCTTTCCAGTGTCCCATTTTCTCCTGGTTGTTCCGAGTGTTAAAGAAAGTGTATCTAGTGCCTGGTGGAATGGAATGGCTGGCACCTTATAAGTAAATAAAGCTCTTTTTGTCCAAAAAGTGGGACACGGGCTCAAGAGGCTGAGGGGCCTGGATTTGAATCCTAGCTCTGCCTCTTGTAGGTGAGTGGTTTTCGGCATGTTCCTTAACCTCGATGGGCCTCAGCTCTCTTATTTGTGAATTGGAGATGATAATGCCTACTTTAGTGATTAAAATCTTTGGCGCAGTGCTGGGCAGTTATAAAAGTGAGCTCACAAAGGGAATGTGAGCTCACAAAGAGAACAGTTTAACTTTGAGAACCTGAACTTTGGATAGTCAGGCCACTGTGGGGTGCTGTCTCCTCGTCTTTTTGATCCAGCCCTATGATGCAGGTGCCTGGACAGCATTTAAAGTCTCAGAAGAGCATCTGTCCTTTGGTTATTTTGGTTTATTTCCTTTGGTTTAAGTAATGTTAATTAACGTTTAGTTAGCAAATTACATTTTTCCTTGTTGGATTCAGAGTTGTAGAATGTTAGACCTGGAAGGACCCTGAGAAGCCCTCCAGTCCAGCTCTGTCATGTTACAGATGGGGAAAACGAGGTCCTCAGAGGTTAAGGACTTGGTGAAAGGCAGTCCTTGGACCTTGACCAGGAGCTGAAGGCTCCTGGTGGATTATTCCCTGCCAATGTCCCTGTTGCTGGGTTTTTCCACTGCCTTTTAAGCTGAAGTTTATATTTGGTTGTGAGGCTTAATCATGGCATCAGTGTGGGCCCCTAGCAGAAGCCCCCGAGTGTTTGTTGAAATAAAGTTGAAGGACATGTCCTGTAACAGGTTGTTGGAGAATAGGGCTTTGTGGAGCCCTGATGGAAATGCTCCATGTTTGCACTGTCCAATATGGTAGCCACTAGTCACTGGCCACTGAGTGCCTGAAATGTGGCCGGACGTGGAGGAACTGGATTTTTTTTTTATTTTTATTTATTTATTTATTTATTTATTTATTTAAAGATTTTATTTATTTATTTGACAGAGAGCGAGCACAAGTAGGCATAGTGACAGGCAGATGGAGAGGGAGAAACAGGCTCTCCGCTGAGCAGGGAGCCGGATGTGGGGCTCGATCCCAAGACCCCAGGATCATGACCTGAGGCGAAAGCAGCCGCTTAACGGACTGAGCCACCCAGGCGCCCCGGAACTGGATTTTTAATTTAAATGTGAACGTACATAGTCTCCTGTGACTGGCGGCTACATTATGGGACAGTGTAGTATTGTAGAGGGATAAGAAACTGGAATTTATGGCAGGCCTGGGAGAGGAAGGATTTCCTAAGGGTTTCAGAAGCTCCCTGGGGACTGCAGTTGGCTCTCAAACCACCTAGCTAATGGAGGCGGACTTTGCCCAGGGCGGATAATTTAGGAGTCATTTATTTGTAGGTAAGTGTGTGAGGTCTGCCATGGGACTCTTTGTTTGCATGCTCTTAGATGCAAATCTGCTAGGAAATGTCTTGAGGTTAGGGATTGCTTTGTTCACCGCTGTGTGCTGAGAATGCCTGGGCTAGTAGTGCCTGGCGTCCAGGAGATACGGCTTTTGGTAGATCTGGCATCTAGTGGCCAAAATGTTAGTGGAAAGGACCTAAATTCTAGTATGTTAATGGATTAGAATTTTTCCCCCTTGGGCTCTGTCTTGGGTTTACAGTGGAATTAATAAAAAACATCGAATCTGATTTACAGAGACCATACCCTGAGCTAATGTTCTGGAACATTCTATAGAACCGTGCACAGTGCTGACTCCCCTTCTTGCTAGGACAGGGAGGCCCTGGAAAAAGGCGCAGTCGTTGCAGCCCAGGGAGCCCCTGGTTGGGTAGGCTGTTGCTCACCCACTGTCCAGCCTCCTGCTGTAAGTGGGCCAGGCAGCTTGGCATCGCCTTGGACTGTGGTAGTCCACCAGCTCCCTGGTTTCAGTCAGGCCAGAAGTTGCTTTTTCCCGTTAACCTTAAAAATAAAGCTGCCAGGGGCGCCTGGGTGGCTCAGATGGTTGGGCGTCTGCCTTCGGCTCAGGTCATGATCTCAGGGTCCTGGGATCGAGCCCCGCATCGGGCTCTCTGCTCAGCGGGGAGCCTGCTTCTCCCTCTGCCTCTGCCTCTCTCTCTCTCTGTCTCTCATGAATAAATAAATAAAATCTTTAAAAAAAAAAAAAAATAAAGCTGCCAGTTATTTTACCAGCCCAAAAAAAGGGGGGGGGTTATTCAGGAATTGCAGGGCCAGGAGGCTTACAGCAAAACCATAGGCAAGCCTGCAGAACAAAGAGGAATGCTGTTTTATGTTGCAGAGGGGGGAAGTTCTGAAGGTGCTTATGAACAAAAAGTCTATTGGAGCAAACTGGGAGTTCAGAGTAGAGCGGCTTCTCATTGGCCGAGTGTGACAGAGCCCCACTGGCTGGGCTGTTGCCAGGGCAAGG